CAACGTAACTCAAGCGATACATAAATGAAAGAAAAAGCTAGCAATTCGCGTAAAAACGTGGTGGAATACATACTCGAAATTAGGGCTGTTCGGTAACAGCCATACATTTAATTGCACGTAATATGGAAGCAAATGTATCCGAAAACTTTACAAAAGGATTATTTTCCAACGTTATTTTAATTGTGCTGCTTTATTCACTCGGTGGTTTTGCATGAATGGGCTCCCTCTACATGTAACAGTTAAGTTTACCTAGTACGCCCGATTTCCATTTTTTCGGAATTTTCCACTTTGCTAAAAAAGCTGGTATTTCTATAAAACTTTATATTCCTTCATAAATCACATTATGCCCTATTATGAAGAACGAACCTTACTTTATTGCTGTAAGACTTTGGGGGCCGCAGCTTGGGCTGCGTTTGAGTAACAGGGCGTTATTTGTAAAAAAACCTTGGATTTCATGAGTTAGGTAACCTACTGTAAGTATTTTAGTACTAACACAAGGTCTACTCTTTAGATGGTTGCAAAAGGTTTTTAAATCAAACGTATTACCTTTTGTGCCCTCGACCCGAAACCGTTAATTAACCGGAAACGTCGAAGTGGGGGTCGACTCAAAACCTAGCTCGACTCAGTCCGTCAGGACATGACAGTGATTCTCGGACTTTCGGTATTCAGTCACCGGTGCTGGCGAAGAGAATGGCTCGAACTGTCCAGGTCTGCTGCTACTGATCATCGCGCGTGGAGAAACACCGTACGGAACATCATCGAGGCCGGCTAGATCAGTCGTGATCGCAGCCGCAACAAGTACAAGTACTATGTGTCCATAAGCCTGTCTAAATAGGGACACGTGCATCCTCACAACTAACCGAAAGAATGACCATTTAACGGTTGCCAAAAGGGTCTTAAATATTGTATGCCCGGTCTGTAGAGTCTAAATTATCAGAAATGTAATCATGCGGCGAAGTTGGCGCAGTCATTCTGCAGGCAGACATGCCAATTCATAGCCCATAGGGGCTTCACGGATTAACTACTGTCTTCGACAAGCCAAAGTTGCACTTATTATCACACTAAACACCACCAATCCAAGTTGAATTTGGATGAAAACGAAACTAGTGGGATCCTGATAAGTCAAGTCTCCGCTGGAGAAGAGACTGGGTAGAACTCTCCAGATCCGCTGTCGCGAATCGCCACGCATGGAGAGGTACCATCCGTGACATCATCGAGGCCGGCTAGTTCAGGCATGATCACAACCGTAACAAGTACAAGTAAGTCATCTGTAATAGGTATGCACGGTTTCCAATGGTCATAAGACCGGGTTTTATAACAGTAGGCCATATCGAATCTCCTTAAGTACATTTTAAGAGTTCAGAAGCATTACATAAGACTCGACGAAACAAGTACAGACGAAGAAACCAACCTGGACGGCGTAGTTTATAACATCATCTACGGGCTTGCGCATTCGTTTTTGAAGAAGTTCCTCAGTCGATGCGTCCATTTGTTTTAGCACAAAAGGTTCTTCTGTGGTAGAGGAATCTTCTTGTGATTCTGGCAACGCCTGTACCGAAACGGTGCTTCCAACCTGAAAACGCGATAAAGCATCCTTGTTGGCTATAGACAGGCACTCCTCTAATGCATCAGCGGTAGAGAGTCTTGAAGAAGAATGACCCGTTTCACCGCCGCCAAGGCAGTCCGTAAGGAGACTCTTGGAAAGGCTCTGATCTGTCGGAAATTTTCGAGCCAGTTTTGCAAGAATTTCGCCCAGTACTAAGTCGGCCGATGAATCCTAGAAGAAAGGCTAGTTATACGCAGTAGGACCTACTGCAAAGGTGTCTGCGTCTTTGCCAAATAGGTGGGTTGGGCAGGAGTAAGAAATTGATGAGCCAGACTTGTCGACCACAAAAGCACCCGTTTCGAGGTCTCGCCCGATTTTTGCATCAAATTTAACTAGGGGTATATCCAGATCAGGCAGGGATAAGGGCAGGCATGCATCTGGCTCTGCCTTAATCAGATAATCAAGGAATGCAGACGTTTTTAGGGGTTCAAGTGAACATGGGTCGAATGAATTTGGACAGAGTTCCGAGAGCGTTTCTAGAGAGGGAGCACTCCCAGCTGCCATGACGAGGTTCTAAAAACAAACAAGGACGGAAAAACTAAAGTTCATAATCAGAATACGAAAAGAGTGATGAAAGAATGTACTAATTTGTTGGAAATGATATTTTACTAGAAAAATATATTAAAGGTATGGGGTTAGCTGCGATGTATGCCTAAACTACGGAGCCGTAGACTGACGATGTATCGAATAATATTTCGTTGGTTGGTGTTTTAGTCAGAGACGTCTCAATCACTTGAGTGAGATAGCGCATTCGAAATATACGGAAGTGTGATAAATGATGAGTATCCTAAAATTGGAACTAAAAGGAAAAACAGAATAGTAATGAAATATAAATTGGTCAGAACAACGGCTTAGCACAAATACTGACCCATCAACATCCTCATTAAGCTCCTTAATCGCAAAAAGACAAAACGGATGCACCCCTGATCGTATCAATGACACATGTCGAAATATGTGTTAACTGAGAGGCCGGGTGTGGTGCCTAACGCTAGGTCTATCGCGACACGCTCGTCTTGAGAAGTGATGCTGTAAATTCAACTAAACAGACGGTCTGAAGGGCACTAATGCAGTCGAACACGGCAGAATTGAACTTCAGCG